GTAGTGTGCCACTAAGGGTGGCAATATGGTAAATAAACCGAACTCTTTAATTAGCTTATTTAATCTAATTTAATCATACCTAATCAATTTTCAGATAAATATACCATAAAATCACATTAATTATGAGGGTCACGGAACGTCAATCGGTTTCTAATTCGGCCGCCGATAAGGCCTTCAATTAGCAGTTTAAACATATAAACATGAACAGATAATCAGACAATCAAACAGATAGAATGCAATTAACCATCATATACTCAGTTAATTCAGATTCCAATTTCAATCAGTCAGTTATCAGTTATTATCCGTTTCGTTTAACAGTAATCGGTGACTATCGGTAATCAATCAGTCCCTAATCAGTAAACAGTATGAGGGTTGTTACAGTTTTCAATAATTAATTTTTAAAATTTGGTGATAAAATTTATTTTCGTCTTAGAACGTAACCCAAACATGACGAAATATTACTTTTGTTGTTTCTTTTAATTAGACGAAAAAATAAATTTGCCAGAAAAAAAAGAGGCGCCCATTTTTTTTCCTGTTGGCGCCAATTATTTTAGCTCATTGGAGATGAACATTATTGTCACAAAATTTAAATTTTTTTGCGACAAAAGGAATTCATCACCAATAAATTCCAAACCTATTAGACGATGTCGTTTCATTTTCTTATTTATTAGGTGACAAATATTTTTTTTGTCTGGGAAGGGTAAGTTATGGGATACGAAAATATTTCGTCACTAATAACTTTTCACAGTCGTTTTATCTTTCTGTTAATTGGGCGACAAATATGTTTTTGTCTCGGAAGGATATGTTTTGGAAGACAAAAATATTTCGACACTAATAAATTTTCCATGTATCGTATTGCATTTTGATTGATTGCACGACAAATATATTTTTGTCTCATAAGGTTAAGTTGAAGGAGACAAAAATATTTCATCACCAATAAATTCTCCATCCCCAAACAATGTTCTTTTTGTATTTTTATTGATTAGGCAACAGACATATGAGTTTGAGGAGATGAAAATATTTTATCACTAATTATTTCTCTTTATTAAAATGTTGTCAGAAACTAAGAGACATTCTTACCTTAATCACTTACTTTCACACACACAAATACTAAAGTCGTGACCCAAAAAGACACCCTCTACAAACCCTCATTTCTCTCTCGCACTTAAGCCTCCTCTCTCACAAGTATTGAAGTCGCGACTCAAGAAAACAATCTCTATAAACCATCTATTCTATTTCGTACCAAAGCTCCTTTATTGTGTCACATTTAAGCCGTTTGTGCATGCAAACATTATTATCTAAGAAGACATTTTATGCAAAGCTACTATTTGTCACGACCCAAACCTGTCCCTATGGGTTTAGCATCGTAACCGGCCAATAATCCTTCGATTACCAAAGGCCTTTTAGCAGAATATCATATAGTTACGGGCTACAGAAGCAAATATACAAAATATACGTGGTCCAATAAGCTGTGATGACATACATGTGACAGATAAACAAATAATTTAAAACTTAAAAAAAAAAAACTTGTGAGCGAAGTCAAAAGATATAGTATTTACACATCATTCTATGAACATATAAATAGAAATTTTGCCCGCACTTATAAGGAGCAAAGTCTAATACATCACAAAAACAACCACTAAACTTGTTTCCATCCGGAACCTCCTCGGGAGGCACAAAGGTTGGCTGACAAAAACTGAAACATAGGCCATTAACTTTGGGCCTGCTCACGTGCCTGGTCACTTACATACATAATATAAATAGTGAGCTGCAGCCTAGTGAATAATAACGGAGTAAAGGGTTTTAATGAATGAAGTTCGAACAGAATCAGAAATCATAATTCAGATTCATAACAGATTCGTATTCATATTCTTGTTCAGATCATATACAGAAATCAGAGTTTATGCTTAATCATGCGTTGTACATCCATTAGCGCTAACAGAACAGATGCAAAACATATGGTGGTCATGAATAACCAGTTCCATAAAAGAACCTCCGGATCCGAGTAACAGATGACAGATATGCTGAGCTCTATGATGGAGCCTCCGGTACGGGTAACAGAGTGCAGACATAATAAGTTCCGTAATGGAACCTCTGATACCTGGTAACAGCTAATAGATATCACATGATGCTAAGGATGCCATGAATACATTGTCAGAAATTGAATAATCATTCATTGTACAGAACATATCATTTCAAAAAATAGATCTTAATTCATCATACAGAAAATAAATAAAGTTGAAGATAGCTTTACTAAGCTATTACTCACAGTTGGCTTCGGGTGCAGACAGACAGAGCAGGCTAATCAAACGGTCTACGGCACGTGACCTACATTAACACATAACAAATACACATTTGAAACACATGTTGGAAAACATCTAACCCATTACGTTCTTGTTCTTAGTGTGTCTCTTCATTGATCCTCCTTATTATGCCGTAATCTTGGCCTAGGAATGCCTAAGATGGAATAAGGATGCAAAAATGTATTTGAAACACTTTTTCCAAAACTTGCTGAAAACAGGGTCCACGCTCGAGCGTGGCTTTCCTCGCTCGAACGGACATGCAAAAAGTGAGGGTTCGCTCAAGTGTGACTTCCTTAGCTCGAGCGGACTGTAAACTCTGAAAAAGTACTGGTTGCTTATTTTTCACGCTCGATGGACGCTCGATCTCCACTCGAGCGTGAGACTCAAGCCCTCGCTCGAGCGTGACTTCTGTCGCTCAAGCGTGCTGCAAAAACATATGAACTTCTGGATACATGCATTTCATGCTCGAGCGGGTATCATGTCGCTCGAGCGGAAGTGCACGCATTCAGAGTGCTTCGCTCGAGCGTGAACTCCCACGCTCGAGCGTAGATTCAAATTCTGGAATTTTCAGATTTGGTCTCCAAGCTTCAAACTCAAACGAAATACTTCAAAACTCATCATCTTAGGCCAATATTCTGAAAAACATTTAGATATTCACAAAAGATCATGATTTAAAGATCGTTTCATGAAATCAAGACCCAAAAGCATGCCAATTGTTCGCATATTCAACTTAAACTTCATGAACTCTCCAAAAACATGACATGCATGAAGTGATTGAGCTTCAAGTTTCTAAATCATGATCAAATGAAATGAGAGGATGTAAAACATGATGAATTCTCAAAACATAAGTGAGATGAACACATGCATGAAAGAATTCTTTGAAATCATGCTCAATTTGTAAAGAAATGGATATGCATACATGGTATGGCTCAATTCTCTTCAACTTTAACTCAATTCCTACATGAATTCATCTAATTTACTTGAGGTCTTGAAAAATCTAACTCAATTACACAACTAAGAATTTGATCCCTTACCTAGAGACTTGAATTCACAAAGGTTGACGTTGAAACTCTCAAATCTTCTTCAAATGTCAACAATTCCTAACAAATCCTTGGTTTGAGCTCAACTTCCAAGCCTAGGACCAAATCTCCCTACTCTTTCTCTCTCTCACGTTTAGAGCATCAATTTGAGGTAGTGAGTGAGGAAAATGGACTAGTGAAGTCAAGTGGACCTTAAATAGGCTTCATGGAATTGATTTAATTAGTTTGGCTTAATCTAAAGTAATGAGCATTAATTAATCTACTTTAATTTTTCCAAATCAAATTTCAATTGACCTTACCAGAAAATTTAAAAAATTTCAAATAACACATAAATCAAATCAATTTCAAAATTAGATGCCGACAAGGCCTTCAATTCGCAGATCGAAACTAAAACATAAATAGATCTTTCTACGTTAAACAGATATAACCACAAAATGATGCAATGCACATGTAATTAACTCAGGATTTCTTCTTAATTACTTATTAGGCATACATAAACATGAATTAGCGTTAATCATGGATTGGGGTTGTTACAACTATTCTTTCTCATAGTAAACCCCTCTCCACAAAAAGAAAAAAATAATAATAATAATTAAATAAGGAAACAAAAAAGATGATTAATGTAGCTATTTTTTTGTGAGCAAAAATGCAAATGAAAAAAAAAAAGAATTTGTTGCCAATTTTCAAACATCACACTATTTATTTTGAAGTTCTAAAAAATAAATTTTTAATCTGTATTTTTTTAATGAACCGTTTTTAATATTTTAATATATATATTTATTTACTTTTTATATCCCTTTAATTCAGATAAATGTAAAAAGTACAAAATTTATGAAAACACTTGCAAAAATTCACTATAAAAAATATAAAAATTTAGTGTATTTTCATATTTTTATTGAATCATTTTTAGATTTTTTCACAAATATTTTTGTTTTTAAGTATATATTTAGATTTGGTGTATTTAAAAAAAAACAAATAACTACAACTTAAAAAAGTTTTCCAAAGACAAACAAAAAACGAAAACTCGAAACCAAACAAATTAGCGATAAAAATATTATTCTTCACTAGTTTTTGAACTTTTAATTTTGTTGGTTTAAATTCTCAGAAATTATTTTTAAACGGATTTTCGTTTGTTTTTATAAAGTTTTTTTTCCCATATTTTAGTCAACATTTTGTACTTTGTAAATATATCAAGATTAGATGCATGCAAAAAAATAAAAATAATAATAACTAAATACGAAAAAAAAAAAATCATTAGAAGCAAACAAAAATGTACACAAATTTTTCTTCAAATTTTCATTTGTTCATAATGAATTTTTATGATATTTTAGTCAATTTTTTTAAATTTTTTTTTAGATGCATTTAGATTAGGTGGAACTAAAAAGTATAAAACATTGACAAAAATATAAATAAATAAAAAAATTCACTAAACATAACCGATAATTCAAATTTAAAAAAAAAATAAAATGAATATAATTTTTAATTTTGTCATAAAAATGAAAAGAAGTTAATTTTTTTTAGACTAAATTTTTAATTTAATAAAAAAATTATTTTTACCACAAAAAGAAGCCAAATATTTTGGCGCCATAGGAATATTGAATGCGCCTAAAGTTGGTGATTGGTGAAAAAAATTATTTTTGTATATTACTCCCGAAAGGAAAAATAAAATGAAAAGTTTTGTTGAGAGAGAGAGCTCTTTGAAGCCGATACAAGGAACGACATAGAGGGAAGAAGCCGGCCGGAAGGGGAACGACAGAGAGAGAGAGACGAAAGAAACGTACTCACGGCGAAGAGACTCAGCAAAGAAGAAAACAGTCTCCCTTCAACCAGGTTTGGAACCTAATTGTTCTTGGGTTAAGATTTGGAGATTTGAAAAAAAAAAAGTTTTTGATTTGGGGATTTCAATTGAAAAAATAGAGTTTTGATTGAGGACCTAAAAAATTGGTTTTAGGTTCTGATTGTATAAAAGAAATTATTTTGTTGAATCTAAAATTTTAGTGTGTTTGTTGAATCTAAAATATGTGATTGTATAAAAATTAATTTATTGAGATGTATAAACAATTAAGCTAATTAATTTAAACAGTAGACTGTAATTCATCCCAAAAATCAATACATAGATGAAACAAATGGTGGAGATTTACATCAAACTTGCTGAACTAGAAACAAAGAGAAAGGTTAGTCATATAGTTCCAAAATTATTTTCACTTCTTTTATCTTTTTCTTTTTTTTCATTTCATTGTTGTCTTGTTTAATTTTGGTATTAGAATCTCGATTATTTTTCTGTGATTGATTCCCACTATCAGTAACAACTTATGTTAGAGTTTTGTTTAGAGTTATTAATGAGATCATGTCAACAGGATACAAACAAAAAAGTTACTCTGCCAAGAGAAATTCGCAGTGTTCAACAGCTTGACCTTGTAAGTATTCCACTATGATTAGGACTATGAGTATCATTATTTTGTTTCTACAATGACTGCTGACCATTGGTTGTTACTTTAATAGCATTCTCATCATGAAAAATGGTATTGAGGTGGAATTGTTTTGATGATGCCATATGCCAAAAATCATAGCTTAGATATTATCAAAATTTCTATTAAATTTTTTAACAATCAGGATACCAGGATGCTCGAGAAAACCACACCAACGTGGTGGTTGATACAAAATCCAGCTATCAGGCTATGTGTAACCAAACTTATTTTTTATTTCGAAAACAAAATTTTAAACCGTAAGTTTATAGTTAGCTATCTAATGCAGTTCTTCCTTCCAAGTTTCAGATTGCATTGTAAAATGACACAAAATGCGTCAGTGGCAGGGATTACAGACGATGCTCTTTTCTAATTGGCACTATTGAGTGACCTAATGTGCAGAGTCTCACATAACTTAGTCAAATTGTTGATCAGATTCATTTGCATGTAAACATTTTCCACTCTGTTGATATAAATTTTTATAGGAGTTGTTATAATGCTTCATGGTCTTAAGCTATTCAATATGGTCTATTTGATTGGTTAAAGTTTCGTTTGAAATATATATATATATATATTTACATGTGATTCATTCTAGAGACATGTTAGATTTTGTTGGACCTTCATTTAGTTCTATTCCGTTCGTAATACATGTGAAAAATTAATCTATTATAAATTTATGAGGAAGTTAGATGTTTAACTATATACGAAAATACTAACAAGCCAATATTTATATACATCATTAAGATATGTTTTTTGTGAGTTTTGAACTTCTTCTTCTCTCTTTTATTTTTATTTTTATTTTTATTTTTGAACTTCTTGATGTCACATATGAGTTTATTTCTTTCTAATGGATCGAGAATGCTATTTGATATATTGACTCAGAATTTCTAATAAATTAATATATTTGGGAGTTCTGCAGCCTCAACTCTATTTTAGTGCCCTAGTAAAGATGCCTATTCCCCTCTTAGTTTCTAATTACTTATTAAATTATATATATATATATATACATTGCAGCTCTATTTTCTTTTTTATTTTTTAACAAACCCTTGTCGCATGGTCCTCTCATCAATTTCATAAATCTCTGTTCATAGTCTATCATAATTGGATTGGATAGTGAACAATTTTGGATTCATCTTTCAGAATACAAATCTTTTCAGTTTTGTTTATGGAACTAGTGAATTTATGAATTTGGAAGGCACTTAGATTGATTATTTCATAAGAATCTAAAGAACATCTAAATTCATGTAGTTCACTAAGCTTGCTAATAATGTTTAGGAAGACGTCTTAATGTAGTTCACTAAACTTGCTAATAATGTTCAGTATACAAATCTTTTTCTTTTTCTTTTTGTGTGGCTAATGTGCATTATGTGATGCAGGTTCCATCTTACATTGGTTCTTATTGCAACAGGATGCTACTGAATGATGTAAGTTTGATTTTTAGTTGAACTTTCTTCTTTTAGCAACAAAATCAAAACATGAATTATTACTTATCCAAAAAAAAAAAATTATCCAAACTTGAATGTCAAGTTTAAAACAATGAATTCATGTTTCATGTAGGTAATTATGGAGGACTGCAGTACATATGCATTTAGGCTCCGATTGCTTGAGACATCACAATCTTAGAACTTGAAATTAATGTGATGCACATAGTAGAGCCACAAGGGCTGACGATTACAAGCTAACAATAAAAATTATCCAAACTTGAATGTCAAGTTTAAAACAATGAATTCATGTTTCATGTAGGTAATTATGGAGGACTGCAGTACATATGCATTTAGGCTCCGATTGCTTGAGACATCACAATCTTAGAACTTGAAATTAATGTGATGCACATAGTAGAGCCACAGGGGCTGACAATTACAAGCTAACAATCCATAATTCTATTTAGGAAATTTAACTGACTAAGATTTTGAATCACAAAAAGAAAAGGAAACCTCCACATCATTGAGGCATAAGGACTCAAGATCAATAACCTTTTCATTATGGAATCCTATTTATTTTATGATGAATACATGCGTATCAACACAGATACTAGAATCAGAAAATACTTGGTATAGCTCATTTTAGCAAAGTGTGTCATAAATATCTCAAAACTTTACAATTTGCATATCCAAGAAGTGTTCCACAGGTATCAATTGAGCTGAAAAGTATAATCTATAGAATAAAGAGATTATTGTATAAAAAATTTCATAACAAAGAGATCAATTTCTTAGCTAGATAATTATGTTATAGGGGAATTCCCTAAGTGGACATACTTCTTGGTAAAGTATAGTAGCTTTAATATAACAATTTTTATAAAAGAATATATGTTTGAAGAATTAGGAAGTATTGGAAACATGCATAGGACACCCAATTTGGGAACTAGTTCAAAAAAAGCTAGTGGAGGGCCAAATAGTTAAACAGCTATGGAAGTGCCTAAAAACAAAAACACCCGACTTGGGAGGGACCATTATAACTGGTAGGAACTTACGGCACATGCATAAGATGCACTGTTTGTGTATTAGACAAAAAAATGATTTTTTTCATACTTAAGCTTCAAAAAGGGCTATTGAAGGGTTAAATTATCACATAACTACGAATGTGTATGGGAATCAACAAACACGTTGGAAGGGACCAATATAACTTGTAAGAAGTTACGACACATGAATGGGATGTACCATTTGTGAATTTGCCTAAAAAACACTTTTTTTTCCATAATATTAGAAAAAGTTCGTTGGATGAGTATATTATCAAACAACTACGAATGTATATGAGAACTAACACAAAAACCTTAGGAGGGACCAATTTAACTTGTAGGAACTTATGGCATTGTGCACCATTTGTGAATTAGCCTGAAAAATGCTTTTTTCCTATACTTAGGCTTGAAAAATGGCCAACGAATGGCAAAATTTTCAAATAGTCATGAATGTCATTAGAACCAACACACACCACAAGAATAACCAATATACCTTTTAAAATTTATGGAATATGCACGGGATGCATCATTTGTGAATTAGATTAGAAAATCAGTTTTTAAATAATTAGGCTTGAAGGCCAAATCATCAAACAGCCACGAAAGTTCCCTTGATTTAGCTCAAATACCTTGAGGAGGACCCAATGTTACTGTAATAACCCCGACCCATGATTAACGCTAATTCATGTTTAAGTATGCCAAATAAGTAATTAAGAATGAATCCTGAGTTAATTATATGTGCATTGCATCATTTTGTGTTTATATCTGTTTGACGTAGAAAGATCTGTTCATGTTTTAGTTTCGATTTGCGAATTGAAGGCCTTATCGGCATCCGATTCAGAAATTGACTTGATTTATATGTTAATTAGGATTTATAGGATTTTATGGTAAGTTTAATTAAAATTTGATTTGGAACGATTAAATTAGAATAATTAATGCTACTTAACTTAGGTTAAGCCAATTACTTAAATGCCACTAAGTGGGCTTATGCAAGACCACTTCTACACCTTATTACATGTTTTTGACACTCTCACTTCCCATTTTCAAGCACTAGCATTGTGCACCATTTGTGAATTAGCCTGAAAAATGCTTTTTTCCTATACTTAGGCTTGAAAAATGGCCAACGAATGGCAAAATTTTCAAATAGTCATGAATGTCATTAGAACCAACACACACCACAAGAATAACCAATATACCTTTTAAAATTTATGGAATATGCACGGGATGCATCATTTGTGAATTAGATTAGAAAATCAGTTTTTAAATAATTAGGCTTGAAGGCCAAATCGTCAAACAGCCACGAAAGTTCCCTTGATTTAGCTCAAATACCTTGAGAAGGACCCAATGTTACTGTAATAACCCCGACCCATGATTAACGACCACTTCTACACCTTATTACATGTTTTTGACACTCTCACTTCCCATTTTCAAGCACCAAACGTGAGGGAGAGAGTGTGAGGGAAGAAAAATTGAACTTAAACCAAGGAATTGCTAGGAATTGTTGACATTTGAAGAAGATTTGAGAGTTTTAACTTCAACTCTTGTGAATTCAAGTCTCTAGGTAAGGAATCAAACTCTTAATTGTGTAATTGAATTAGACTTTACAAGACTTCAAGTGAATTAGGTGAATTCATGAAGGAATTGCACTAGATTGAGTAGAATTGAGCATACCATGCATGCATGTTCTTTTCTTCACAAATTGGGCATGATTTCAAAGAATTTCTTTCATGCATGTGTTCATCTCACCTATGTTTTGAGAATTCATCGAGTGTGTTTGGTTTGTGTTTGTAGAATAGTTTTTAAGATAAAAAATACGAAAACTTGTTTGGTTTGTCTTTTTTCAGAAATGGTTTTGGAAAATTGTTTGGGGGAGAGAGTTTTTAAAAAAGTGATTGATTTGATGTGTATGAGAGAGAGAGTGATTTTAGAAAGTAGGTAACCAAACAAAATTTTGAGATTTTTTTTGGAAAAATTTGTTTGGTTTGATTATTCTTGAAAATTTGTTTGTAGAGAATTTTTCCTAAAAAATTTTCTGAAAAACAAACCAAACAAGGCCATCATGTTTTGCATCCTCTCATTCCATTTGATCATGATTTGGAGACTTGAAACTCAAATCATTTCATGCATGTCATGTTTTTGGAACATCCATAAAGTTTAAGTTGAAATTGTGAACAATTGGCATGCTTTTAGGCATTGATTTCATGAAATGATCTTTAAATTATGATGTTTTGTGAGTTTCTAAATGTTTTCCAGAATTTTGGCCCAAGAGGATGAGTTTTGGGGTGTTGAATTCATATTTTGAACCTTGGGAGCAAATCTGGAAAACCCAAAATTTTGCTTTCACGCTCAAGCGAAGGATTCCAGGCTCGAGCGACCACCTTTATTTTCGCACTTCCACTCGAGCGACAAAAGGTTGGCTCGAGCGTAAATTGCATACTCTCAGAAGTTTGCGTGTTTGGAAGCACGCTCGAGCGACAAGACTTGCGCTCGAGCGAGGACTTGTGTCTCACACTCGAGCGATCGTCGAGCGGAAATTGCACGTAACCAGAATTTTTTCACATTTTACAGACCGCTCAAGCGAAGTGTGTGCTCGAGCGACCACTCACATTCGATAGGTTTGCTCAAGCGAAGAAAGCTGCACTCAAGCGAGACCCCTGTTTTCAGCAAGTCTTTGAAAAATATTTTCAAGTGCAATTTTGTAACCTTATTCCATCCTAGGCATTCCTAGGCCATGATTAAGACATCATAATGGGGTTAAAGGCTAGAAACACACGAATAAGCTTTGTTCAATTCGAGCGTGTGTATTCAACGTATGTATCTATCATGTTATGTAGGTCACGAACCTCAAGATAAGTGATTTACATACTCTACTCGTCTATTTGGACCCACCGGTTATCTGTGAGTAATAACTCTGTAAAGTTATGTTTAACTTTAATTATTTTCTGATGATATGAAATGATAAATTTTCTGAAATGCTATGTTTTGTATGAATGAATGATTGTCCAATTTTCTTTGAAACGTAATTGTGGTATCCTTAGCAGAGGCCCTCGTTCAGGGGACATAATACTATGGCTTATGGTCATGAGGCCCTAGCCGGGGGATAATATCGCGGCCCAGGCCCCCGCCAAGGGGAAACAATATCGTGGCACAGCCCCTCGCCCAGGGGAAACAATACCGTAACCGATATATGAGATATGTTACCCGGTACTGGAGGTTCCAATATGGAACTTGATATGCTTGACCAATGAGATATGTTTATGCTAATGGATGTACTACACATGATTTGAATATGAATAAGACTATGACTCTGTTTCTGCTACCTGATTATGATTCTGATTTGCTATGAGATTTGAAATTTGTTCCGGGCATCATTCATTAAAATCTTTACTCTGATATTATTCACTGAGCTCCAGTTCACTGTATTATTTATGTATGTAAGTGAACAAGCACGTGACCTGGCCCAGAGTTGATGGCCTATGTTTTAGTTTTGTCAGCCAACCTTTGTGCTTCCCGAGGAGGTTCCGAATGAAGTCAAGTTTGTGATTGTTTTTGCAATCATATCAGACTTTGTTTGTTTTGTTGAGTTTTGGACAAGATGCATGGTATTATACTTCCAAGAGTGATATGTAAATGTTTTATCTTTTGACATTACTTGTAAGTTCATAAAAGTTTTAAATTATGCGTCTCATGTATGTCTTCACAACTCAGTGGACTATGGATATTATGAATACTTGCTTCCGCAGCTCTTATTTATATGTTAATCCGTCAAGAGGCCTTTGGTAATCTCAGGATTACTGGTCGATTACGATACTAAACTCATAGGGGCAGGTTTGGGTCGTGAGAGTTACTTGTAGGAACTTATGACACATGCACAAGATGCACTACTTGTGTATTAGATACAAAAAGATGTTTCGTACTTGTGATTAAAAAAAACCCCTTAGATTGCTAAATTGTTAAACAGTCACAAATGTGTCCAAGAACCAATACAAATTCCTTGGGAGGGACCAATATAAGTTGTAGAAACTTACGACAGGTGCATGGGATGTATAAATTGTCAATTAGCCTAAAAAATAGTTTTTCCTCCGTACTTGAAGCTTCAAAAATGACTGTTGAAAGGCCAAATTATCACACAACCACAAATTTGTATAGGGACCAACAGAAACACCTTGGGAGGGACCAATATAAGTTGTATAAACTTACGACACATTATCACCATTTGTGAATTAGCTTTAAAATTAATTTTTTGTTCCCATAATCTTGAAAACAATCCGTTAGAGGGATAAATTGTATGATTGATCTAATTGTGAATTAATTAGTTACTAATATTTTTAATTGTTTGTATAATTGATTAGTTACTGAAGCTTTTAATTTATTTTTTTGCAGATTGGATTGTGGTGGCATTTTTACTTGCAACAATGATCTAATTTGCTTGAATGTTCATTTTTGTTTGATAAGGACACATACTTTGTAGAGTTGCATTAGTTATTGTTAGATGTTTTGTGGAATTGCACTACTCATAATTGTTGGATATTTTGTGGATATTACACTATTTTGTTGTATTATGATGAAATTATTTGTAATGAATGAATATTTTCATTTTGTTAATTTATAAATGTGTTGATTTATAGCAGGTTAAGTTAAATTGTGATGGAATTGTTATATTAAATAGGTTTCAACATGAACAGGATTATATTTGTTGAATTAAAATTCAAATTTTGATAACAATAGGTATATAATATGGAAAAAAATATTATGGAATTAGTGACAAAATTTTTCATCCCTAAAGAAGTTTTTTGTCCCATATTTGGCTTAGGTGGGTGATTAATTTTGTCATGAATTCTTTATTTCGTTGCTAAATGAATTTTTCATGACGAAAAATATTGTCACATTTTGTCACTATTACCCTCAATGTGTGACAAATTTTTTTTGACATTATTTCATCATTTTTAATGATGAATTTGTTTTTGTCTCTATTGGTAGCTTCTTTGACAAATTTTTTTCGTTTTCATTTATATTAAACGTGACAAAATTATTTCGTCTCAATTTCTTATATTTATAACAAAATACTTTTGTCTCTAATTTCTTTCTTAAATGACAAAATATTTTGTCGTTAATTACTTACAAGTATGTTCTCAACAGAGTGTATTGGAGACAAAAAAAATCGTCACAAATTTATTATTTTCAATGACGAATTTATTTTTTCATTTCTAAAACCTTTTAGCGACGATGCTTTGGCGACAAAACGGATGACGAAAAATTTTTGTTGTAATTAGTTTGGGTGACAAAATATACACATTTTGGGACAAATTTGTTTCATCTTTAAATCCCAAATTTGTTGTAGTGTATATTAAAGAGTTTTTTAGTGTATTACATTGGAATGTTATGTTTTTTTGGTATTACATTGGAGTATTACGTTTGGAAAAAGTACACTAAAAAGCTTTTTTTAAAGTGTTATGTTTAGTAATTTCAACATTATAAGAAAACTTGCATTTGTCCCGTAATAGCATGCACGTTTATGCTTGACCTTTTACATAATTTATATTAGAATGGGACATTTGGATCCATAAGAAAAAAAATAGAATACCAAACAGTTCATAAGATCATTATTTGAAATTTATTAGTGCTTCTTGGCTTTTAACAATAAAAGTTTGGAAATGTCACTACATCTTTAAGAACAAAATAATTTAATCCATATTTCACTTTAGTTCATATAATTTTAAATTGAACAATTTGGTCTGCACACTTTAAGTTTAGTTTTAATTTGGTCTTTATTTTGAAGTTTGAGGTTAAAGTTAAAGATTTTCGAACACATGCCAGTCTTCTAAAGTGCACACGTTAAAAAAAAAAAAATTAGTAGATACTTTGACCGAATGACTAAATTGAAACAAGACTTAAAGTATATGAATCAAATTATTTAAATTAAAACAATAGAGATTAAAGTAAAATTTGGATCAAATTATAGTAGTGAAAAGTGTAGTTTACCCAAATAATTTTGTATCAAAAGGTTTACTTTTTCAAACAAAGAATCTTGATCTAAAAAAATATAGTAATTAATTAGTAAGTGTTCAATTTGACCACTAAAAATACAAAATGATGATTTTGACAATAAAAATATTTCATTCCTAAAATATAATTTTATCCTAAATTTTTATTTTTAAAATCTTAATTCATTGTAGTGAAACTTTTTAGTGTGAATTTCAATTTTTTTATTATTATTTAAATCTGTTAATTTTCATAATTTTGTCAATGTAGTTGTGAAAGAACTATCTTTGTCAATGTAGTTGTGAAAAAACTATTATCTTGCTGTATAATGTGCTTCCTAATTGATCAAAATTTAAAATTTAAACTAAGAAAATAATTAATAAATGAGAAAGAAAATCACAAAAATTTATTGGTTACAAATGATAGTTAAAAGCCTTCCTTTGGCAGGCGGGTTTGAGAAGTTTGGCTACTTTAATTATAAAAAGGTAAAATAAATTAAAAAAATTAATAAGATAAAATATCACATTCAAATTATAATTATTTTATTTTTTCTCTCACAAAAGTTAAAAAAATCAATCCGAACGAGATTTTTTTAACCCTAAAACTAAGACTTATTTTGGAAAGTGGATTAAAAGTCATTTCTTAACTTTCAATCTACTTCCTCTCTCTCTCTCTCAAAAAAAAAAAAAATTTCTTTCTTTCTGATTGTTTTTCTCTCAAAAAAAAAAAAAAAAAAAAAAAAAAAAAAAAAGAAGATTCAATAAGTCATGGTTGGTTGTTGATATATCCCATTACATATAAAGTGATTTCTCAACCAGATTAAAAAATAGGATTTATTATATTTTCTACTCTTAAATTATTATCAAATTATTTGTTTAGTTTTTGAACTATCGATTGAGTCAAGTCAATCCCTAAAATATATAAATTAAAATTTATTTAGTATCTCAACTATCGATTGAATCTATTAAGTTCTTAAAATATTTAATTCAAACATATTTATTCCGTAAAAAAATTATAAAAATAAAATATAAACCCATAAATATTATAAATTACTAAAAGAACCTACCTAGTTAAGATTTATTATAAAAAAATTAATTTTAATTTTGTCTATAAAATACATTTTCGTTATCTAGGGTCGATTATTACAACAACGGGAGAGATTGATGCAGATGTGGCCCATAGGATTAAGGCGGGATGGTGTAAGTGGAGAAGTGCGTCTGGGGTATTGTGCGATAAACGAATACCCACTAGATTAAAAGGTAAGTTTTATAGAACGGCTATTAGACTAGCTATGTTGTATGGGACGGAGTGTTGGCAACCAAGAAACAACATGTAGATAAGGTGAGTGTGGCCGCGATGAGGATGCTATGATGGATGTGTGGTAAGACTAGACAAGACAGGATTAGGAATGAGTGTATTCGGGAATGGGTAGGAGGAGCACCGATAGAAGATAAGTTGAGAGAGAATCGTTTGAGATGGTTTGGTCATATTCAACGGAGACCAACAGAGGCAGTAGTGAAGAGATGCAATACTGTAACGGTAGATGGAAGTGTTAGGGGACGGGGTAGGCCTAGATTAACGTTGACTAGCGTTTTAAATAGAGATATGAATCTACTTAATTTGACTAATGAAATGGCCTTTGATAGGGCTGCATGGAGAAGAAGGATTCATGTAGCCGACCCTATTTGATAGGACTTAAGGTTTGGTTTGGTTTGTGTGTTTAAATTATTATTAGAGTATAGTTTATCAAAATATTCCTAATAAAATTATGTAAGTATTAGATTTACTGAAAAAGTAAAATTAGCTAATTTAAATAATAACACTTTGCTACAAATAATTATAGGAC